CGCAGGGTTCAAAGAAGCTCATTGTGGCCACTGAGAAGAATGTCGTGGCCGCTCTGAACTCCAGGAGCGGTGAAATCCGTGAGTGAAGCGGGGTTGTGTTGTGGAGAATGCGCCTGTTGTGCTAAAATGTGCCGCGTTTTTATACTAATACAGTAACGCTGGTGACATTGTTTTGTCAGAATGAGAGGATTCAGTTAGTGGTTCAAAAGCTGTTGCTTAGGGCAGGCAAGACTGTTCTCTGCAAAAACTCATTGCCGTGAAGAGCTTTGGTTTGAAAGTAGTAACAAATAAATGCCTTTGGAGGAACAAATCTTGTTCTCACTTAACTCTGTTTTCTTCAGTGTGGCGTCATGTGGATAAAGGAACTCCTGAGGGAGCAATCGATGCGATGCTGATCCAGGGGCAGGGTAAGGAGAACACGCAGACGGTGCGCTTGGGCTAGTGGGTGTCTTTCTACCTGGGCCCTCAGTCGCGTGCCAGACCACAAGCTGAACTTGCCAGAACTAATTGCCTTGTTGATCCCGTGGTGGATAAAAGTTTTGTGTTCATCTCCTCTTCATTTCCCGGGCAGATGCCATCACTGTGTCCAATGCTGGACGAATTCTGCGTTCCTGGGAGACCAATATTGGAGGGTTGAACTGGGAGACATCCCTGGACACCGGCAGGTAGGATTTTGTGTTTGTGCTCTTTTTTTTCCTCTCGTAATGCTTGTCTAGGAAGGATGAAAGGGGTTGTTCACCTTATTTGGATTTGTAATACAGGGGAGAAATTAGTTAGATGTAAAGCCTCTGAAATAACGTTGGGCTGAATTCCTTTGGAATGCCTGAAACTTGCAGTTAAATCGAATGCTCTTTCTATTTCTTAGCAAACCAGTAGGAGAAAGAGATACGATTTTTTTTCATAGATGGGTTTTCTCTTTAAATATTCAATATGTTCAGCCTGCATCTAGTTTGAGGGGTTTAGATTCCAGCTCTCTGTTGAGAACAGTAAGGATGAATAAAGTGGATTAGAAATTGTAATTGAAGATTGACGTTAAGTGTTTGAAGAGGGTCTTCAAACAGAGTGTGTGGGTTTTTTTCCTGGAATAAATAGTTTTCTAACTTACTGCTTCTGACCGGTGCTTAGTTTCCAGGCAGCTAGTTTGGTGGGGCTCCAGGACACGGTGAAATACGTGGCAGTCCTGAAGAAGGCAGCCATCTCTCTTCACTACCTTTCCAACGGGCACCAGAAGTGGGTGGAACATTTACCAGAGAGGTAAGAACGTATTTTAGGCAGAAATGTAAACTTCTGATGAGGAGGTTGTTGCCTTGGCCAGGAAGGGTTGCTGCACTTGCCTTAGGCTTTTAAAAAATCTGAAAACAGTTACATGAGCTGATGCTTCATGGTTGCTGCCTCTCTTGCAGTGAGAGTACTCAGTACCAGCAGTTGTATTCCCGTGGGACTGGAGTGATCCACGTGCTTGGAATCGTTCCCCAGAGCCACTTGAACATTTTAACGTTCAGTGTAGAAGATGGAGAAATTACAAAACAGGTAGTGCTCGGTGATGAATGAAAAATATTGAATTTGATGTTAACAAATGTGCTTCCAGCTACGTGGGCTGTGGTGTGGTGTGCAGAGTGATTAATTGTTGTAGTACGGATAATCTGCTCTGTCCCTGTGGCGTTGCCCAGGGGCCAATAAATGGATTTCATTGCTGAACACCCAGAAAGCAAAACTGAATCAGCCTTGCAGCTGTTAGTCAAGTCTATCCTGGAAATCTCAGGCTGGTAGATAGTTTCTCCCACGACCGTGGGTAAAAATAGTTCTGAATTAAATTCTTGGATGTGTCCACGTTGATTGTTTGAAGTTTTTGTTCCGCTGACCACTTCATCTTTTTCTTTGTGTCTCGCTTGGCAGATCAAGGTAGCAGCCCCATGGCTGAAGAGCTTGAACGGCGTCTGCAGCGTGGTGGGGGAGGCGGTGCTGGTGTGCGTGGACGCGGGTGCGCACTCGCTCTACGTTTGCTCCTTGGAGATGGAGCAGGAGATGAAACAGATCCCGCTGCAGGTGAGAAGAGATGACAGAGCGAGGTATGGAATTCACTGTCCAACTGGTTTGGTGACTGAGCCTGGCAGCCTAGGGGGTTCTCATGTTGGTAAACTACAGAATAAGTGAAGAAATGCAGATGGATCTGTAAACGGAAGGAAGGAAGAGAAAATTTTTTGATTAATCTAATCATTTCTTCTGGACTGATGTCTTTAGAGCAGTGGGAGTCTAGGCCTCCTTGCTTATCCTGCCATGAGGAGCTTCTTCCTAAAGCTTATATTGCTGCTGATAAAAGGAAGGTATTAATTTTGGTGGAAAAAACCCCTGTTGCTATGGACATGTATGCTGGTTTCCCTTTCACAGTCGCTTGATCTGGAGTTCGCTGATGGCTTCCAGCCCAAGATACTGGCCACTCAGCCCAATGCAGTCAGTGCTTCGCGGACTCAATTCTTCCTGCAGCTGTCTCCGAGCCACTTCTCCCTGCTGCAGTACAAACACGGGCTGCTCAGTCACCTGCGGGACTTTCAGCAGGTAACCAGGATAAAGGTTCTCAGGCGAGAGGGCCAACTCGTGCTTCAGATTCTTTAAAACTACCAAACGCCTCTGTATTAAGCATTCAGAGCCTCTCTGTTCAATTGTGCTCTTGGCTGCAGCACTCAAAAAACATGTGATTTCATACTGGATGCTTAAATATTTCCGGATGTCAGCCTAGGTGTGCTTTGTGCCAGCAGCGCTCAGCGTTGGGGTACTTCCCTGGTTTTGGGGTGGGTGGTGAGGTGTGAGCCCGAGTGGCCAGTGGTGCAGCAGTACTGCCGTTAGGCCAGCTGAGAGGTTTTGAAAGGCAAAACAAGCTTTAAAAAGCTCAGTAATACTGATCATAATGGTTTAAAAGCCTGTGGCAGGTCAGCTCTTTTCATCTTTGGGAATTATTTGCCGTCTTATAAAAGATAATCTTTTAAATTTCGTTGTTTCACCACCTAAAATTCGACTGTGAAAGATCATCTGGTTTTAATTCCAGTATGGCGTCATTTGCTGCACAGGTAGTTTTTGGAGGGGTTCAGGAATTTTCTTGTTAGTTTTATGATGTTCTACTGTTTTCTCTTTTCAGGCAGCTCTAGTGAGTTTTGCAACGACTGGGGAGAAAACCGTGGCTGCTGTCCTGACCTGCAGGAGTGAACTGGTTAGTCCCATTTGCCTGTGCTGCGTCACCAGCGCAGCTCTTGTACGGATACGCCCCAGGGATGAGTTCCACACGTGTTTTCCTTTCCAGGCCTGGGGATGGGTAGTAACCTGAGGAAGAGGAAGATTTAATTGGCTTCTTAGACACGTGAAGACAGTGCTAACGCAAGCAGGTCTCAGTTACATCCAGCTAAGGCTGTCTCTGGCTGGGGGAAGCATGCTCTGGGCATCGTGGCTGTGTAACCTGGGAATCAGCGTTACTGAGCTGTAGAGGATTCCAGTTCTTAGGGATGCTACACTTACAGGTTTCTTTTTTTTTAAATCGGGAATAGAACAGAACTGTTTCTTGCTTGTTTTCAGAGTCAAGCTGAGGCTTGTCAAGCGTTCAAAAATGTATTTAATTTTTTTTTATATACTCTTACTGGGGTCTGAAGTTGTGTTATCTCTTCTCATCCTCATTTCAGAAACCTGGAAGTTCGGATGGCCTCCATGCCAGAGGTACTCTGGAGGATTCCCGGAAGCAGGTATGAAGTGCTCTTGTTCCAACAACAGCAGGACTTCTTGACAGTCCATTTTATTCCTCTGCATACCGGAACAGAATGGAAAAGGTGTTGCACCATCTCTTTTGGGGGATTGCTCTTTTGTAGTGGCTCATATTTATAATCTAAAAATATCTTGAAGGTGCAGCTCTTGCTGGACATAAAATCCTTCTGCAGGCTTTGGTGAGGCGTGTATGTTTAACTCAGCTATTTTCTGCCTGTCCCTGCAGGAATCCTTAACCTGTTCCAATCAAACCTACAACATCAATCTCTACCTGGTTGAAACTGGCCAAAGACTGTTGGATACCACGATTACCTTTAACCTGGAGCAGAGCGGTGCCAAACCGCAGCAGGTGAGCAGGGAGAGATGATTTGAGTCCTGTGGTTTGTCAGGCTTGCAGTGCCCTCCTTGCCCTGGTTTGGCAGGATTGATCAAGCCCTTCAGACAAGGGGAAAGAGGTTCTTCAGACGTGCCAGATTACTGCGTACAATCACACCGTTTGCTCTGGTTTCACCTGGGAGTTCTTTTTTCTCCAAGGACCTGATGTGATCGTTAACCTTGCTGTTCTGCTTGCTCTTTTTTTCCAGCTCTATATCCAAGTTTTCCTGAAGAAGGATGACTCTGTGGGCTATCGAGCCTTGGTGCAGACAGAAGACCACATGTTAATGTTCCTCCAGCAGCCAGGTGATGGGCACAAACAGCTAGCTCGCTCCATTTTTAATGCTGTGCACCTTGTCACTGCAGGACAAGAAGAAAACTCCAAGTCCCAGATGATTCTTTAATAATTTTCTTTGGAAACTGACACACTGAATTTAACAATTTCATAGAATTTCATAGAATGGCCTAGGCTGGAAGGGACCTTGGAGATCATCTAGTCCAACCTCCCTGTTTTGGGCAGGGACGCCACCTCTCGACTAGACCTGGCAACACATGGGGACCGAGCGGGAATTCTAAGCCATGGGGAGGATACTCGAGATGCTTTCACCCTCAGAAGACATCTTATCTGAGAAAGCAGTTCTGCAGTGCTCTTTGCATGGCAGAACCTTTGAATTTCATGGGTTTTCTGCAGAGTTCAAAACTCTTTGTAGGATGAGAGTTTAAGCCCGGTTGTAGGCTTTCCTCAAAGTTTCTTCAGAAAAGATCCTCATGGCAGAAATGCAAATTCACAGAAAGGGGTGGAAGTCCATCTCGGTGACATGAATTCTCTAGGGTTTAAAAGGCATCCATGTGTTCACCTTGTGTATCTTTTCTTTTAAATAGACTTGGGGACTGTAACTCTTTTAAAACATCAGATTGTTTTTACTCTTCTGTGGTTTTGTTTTCAGTAGTGGCTCCAGTTCCATTAGATACTTGTCTATTGTGGGGTAGTTAACTACGTGATATTAGAGAGATGTGCACAATTTTGTATTTCATTAAGAACAGAGATCGGCATTTGAAGGGCTCACTGTAAGACACTTCTGTGTCGAGCGATGATTTTCCCTCCAGATGTCTATTGCCAGATATTAAGTCGATTTTCCAATATCCTACTGGTTTTTTCTTTCCAGGAAAAGTTGTGTGGAGTCGAGAGGAGTCGCTGGCAGAGGTGGTGAGCTTGGAGATGGTGGATCTACCTCTGACGGGGGCACAGGCTGAGTTGGAAGGAGAATTTGGAAAGAAAGCAGGTAAACCATCGATTGAACAGAATGACCATTGCGAGTTTGGTTTTTTGTAATAAATGTATTTATTGTTTTCTTGTTCTCCTGAGCTGAGAGATAGGATTCACATTTTTGCTCACGGCAGTTAAAATGAGCAGAGGTAAACTCATTTCTGTCTAAATTTTTGAAGTCCGAAGCCAAACCCAGATAACATGAGCGTCTCACGTTGTGATATTCAAAATGCTGTCAGCAGTGGTAGGAGGGGTTTTAGCCGTCTCTTCTCTTAAACTTTTTCCTTTGACCCTTTCTGGAGGACTCGTTTGCAATAGCTTTTATTTTTGCTTTCTTTTTTTTTTTTTTCTTGCTGTCCTGGATGCAGCCATTCAAGGTAACCTCGGACTGCATGTGGTGTTTTCTAATTCTTCTGACTAACGCTTCCTTGTGGAACTTGATCCCCTCTCTGCTTGCCTTCTTGAAATATAGCTGAAGTCTGGTGTTTTGCTTATTTTGTGAAGCTAAATGTAAACCCTGATTGGGCAGCATTAAGTATTTTTTTTAAATTCAAGGGCTTCTCTTACTCTGAGTGCAGAGGGAAAGCCAGACCTTGCGGGAGGGGTAAGCTTAGGTGGGCACTTGCTATGAGCATCCCGATGAGAAAGTAGGAATGCAAAGGGAGAGATTGTGTACTCTGCAAGCAGGTTTGCTTTCAGCTGATGGTGCAAGCATCTTTTTGGAATGAGCTGTGCCAGTGTGAAATGGCAAAAGGCTGGTAAATGCCAGAGTCTGTCATAGAAATCATCACTATGACTTTTCTGTTGCGGAGTGTGAAGCAGAGGCAAAAAATTAGCATAGGTTCATGCATGGCATTTCTTCTACTGGCACAATTTAAATTACGGAGTGTGTTTTCCGTCATGTTACCACCGTTGATCTGTTGGCAGATGGTTTGCTGGGGATGTTTCTGAAGCGGCTGTCCTCCCAGCTTATCCTGCTGCAAGCCTGGACCGCTCACCTTTGGAAGATGTTCTATGATGCCAGGAAACCCAGGAGCCAGATTAAAAATGAGATTAACATCGACAATTTGGCTAGAGATGAATTCAACCTCCAGAAAATGATGGTGATGGTCACCGCTTCGGGAAAGGTGAGGAAGGCAGGGTAGGAATCTGTTTCTAGACTTCAGAGAGTCTCAGATCTGAATTCATACCTCTGTTTTCAGCCAGACTTTGGGCAGAAGGTTGTGAGAAGTTGCACAGAGTGCTTTGTAGTAGCTTGGGAGAGGGGCTGTGACTCTTCTTTCTTTGTCATATGCTGAAGAAAGACGGAGCGCTCGAATGCAAGAGATGTGCCGATCTAAACTTTGGCTTTACCTTGTCTCTCTGCTCAGCTTTTTGGTATTGAAAGCAGTTCTGGCACCATCCTGTGGAAGCAGTATCTCCAGAATGTGAGACCAGGCTCCTCCTTTAAGCTGATGGTCCAAAGAACAACAGCCCATTTCCCACACCCTCCTCAATGCACCTTGCTTGTTAAGGACAAGGTGAGTCCTTTGTCTCTCTGCCTTCACTGAACCTGCTTAGCAGGGAATTCCGCCCTTTCAGAGGGTGAAAGAAAATACCTTTTCAGGCATCATCTGTTTATCACTGATGTGGGGATAGGAGAGTGAGAGCTAGAGGGAAGCAGACACGCTGTTCTTAAAAATGTCAGGTTTCTCATTTTGAAGCCTTTTTATAGGAAGGAAATAATTTCAACCAGTTTCTTTGGTTGCGTGATTTCAGTCGTGTGTGCTCTCCCCAGGTGACAGCGGCTGTCCTTTAGCTGCAGGACGTTTGTACTCCATACGTGAGGGAGGAGGAGACGTTTTTATCTGCTGGGGCTGCCTCAGCAGGTGCCAGATCAGATGTGCTTAAAGCTGTGAACACCATGTCACGCCACTGCGTAGTTTTGATAGAGACATGGAATGGGAGTATATGCACACCCAAACAGTGTTTTGATGCTGGAGTAGCTGAATCGGGGGCATGAATAGTTGATACCAGCAAGCAACAAATAGAAAAACTCTCTCCTCTGCGTTAGAAAATGTTTTGCATCTTGTCTGTTTTTTAGGAAACCAAGATGAGCTTTCTGTACGTCTTTAACCCCATCTTTGGGAAGAGAAGTCAGGTAGCTCCTCCTGTTTTGAAGCGTCCGGTTCTTCAGACTTTGCTTCTGCCTATAATGGATCAGGACTATGCCAAAGTACTGCTCTTGATCAATGATGAGTACAAGGTGAATTGCTTTGCCTGGAGGCAGTTTTGTTCGTGTTCTAGTTAAATATTCCCCACCCTTTTGGAGCAAGGTTAAAAAAAAAAATGTCGTTGAGTCACATTTAACACAAAACTATGAGGTTATTCTGGAAAGACAGGCCTCATCCCGATAGATGTGTTTTGAAATAATCTTTTTTATGTTAATTTTTTGGGGATTTTTTTTGTCTGTAAATTGTTTTTTTTGACTTGTGTTTCCATTCTTCTTTTCCAGGTTACGGCTTTCCCAGCAACTAAAAATGTCCTTCGCCAGTTAGAAGAAATAGCCCATTCTATCTTCTTTTATCTAGTGGATGCAGAGCAGGGAAAGCTGTCTGGATTTCGGCTGAAAAAGGTGCGGAAGACTAATTGCAGTCTGAGTGACATCGTCTTTCTAAATGTCCTCTGGATAACGGTAGATTTCTGTTTGGTTTATGAAGTTTTGCTCAGCATGGCAACAGTTCAGCTCCACAGTGTGCCTAAAACTTGTAAAATTCAAAAGCAGGGAAAGCTTCTGGTGTCTGGTGGAGATGGTGCCTTTCGAGGGCAAGATAAAAACCTCTTACCTTAGGGGTTTTTGTTGTTTTTTTTTCTTGCAGGACCTGTCAACGGAGGAGATGTGGGAGGTGGCGATACCCACCGAAGTACAGAAGATAGTGGCCGTGAAAGGGAAGAGGTCCAATGAGCACGTGCACTCCCAGGGCCGTGTGATGGGAGACCGCAGCGTTCTCTACAAGGTGCCACTGGAACTTTGTCTAGACTTTCTCTGGCTGTGTTACCTCATTGGAAGGGCTTGGCACTATTTTTAGGTTGAGGTTAATTGTCCTGTGGTGCTTTTTCTTTTTCCTGTATATGCATCGGTGTCCGTAAGCCTCTGCACAAGATGTTAATTTTGGTGGAGATTTCTTTTATGAAATGTTTTAATGCAGCAGTTCAGTCAGCCAAACATCTGATGATGGGAAATAGCTGCTTGATTTCCTCAGGTGATTTGTGCTGGGAAGACAGTTTGTTTATTAAATGCCTCATCCCAGATGAAATGCAGATAGATGAGGCGCGCTAAAGCCGGAATCTAAGTTGTTTTGGTTGGTTTTTTTCCTTTTTTTCTAGTCCTTGAATCCAAACCTGCTTGCTGTGGTGACAGAGAGCACAGACACGCATCATGAGCGCACTTTCATTGGAATATATCTGATCGATGGAGTCACAGGCAGGATCATCCACTCGTCAGTACAGAAGAAGGCTAAGGGACCCGTCCACATTGTTCATTCAGAGAACTGGGTGGTGGTAAGAAGTTTTTCTTCTCTTGTTCTTTCATTTGAGAGGTAGGGGCAGTTACTGAACCTGGAGCTTTTCAGCTGCTTTCTCTGATTTCCTGCTACTGCTACGTTATTGACTCTGCTTGCTCTGAAAAATCTGTTCTCATTTCAGTACCAATACTGGAACACGAAGGCACGTCGGAACGAGTTCACCGTGCTGGAGCTGTACGAGGGCACGGAACAATACAACGCCACAGCCTTCAGCTCCCTCGACCGCCCGATTTTACCTCAGGTCCTCCAGCAATCATACATCTTCCCATCTGCCATCAGTGCCATGGAGGCCACCATCACCGAGCGTGGCATCACCAGCCGTCACCTGCTCGGTAAGTCCACGCTCTTCTGTTCTGAAGATGTTCATGCTGCCGGCACAAGCCAGGTTTCGTGCTGAGACCCAAGCAAGATGCAATTTGCTGCTAAAAATCATGGCTGGAGGCTGTTCTGGACTTCAAGCAAGTTCAGAGATAAGCACTGGGAGAGAATTTATGTTAGCTTTTAGAAAATGCTGTCCCAACTGGCCATTTTTAAGATGTATTTCTTTTAATGCACAGTTGGGCTTCCCTCTGGGGCCATCCTCTCCCTTCCAAAGGCCCTGCTGGATCCTCGCCGCCCAGAGATCCCCACGGAGCAAAGCAGGTAAGGAACACATGATAACTGCTGTAACTGCAGCGTGGAAGAGGGATGGATTTTATGTAGAGCAGCATGAAGTAGAACGACTTGTCCTGGACAGATTGAGGGCAATTCTTGCATGAAATTAAGCGAGGTTGCTTTGCTCCCAGTCTGTGACGATGGAATACGTTTGTCTGTGATGCAGCAGGTCTTACCGTTAGCAAAACCAGCCTCTTGTCTGCACAGTCCCTGAAGTTTGTAGAATGACATGTATTTTTTCAAACTTCAGAAGCCTAAAAGGAGGCTGCTGCAGCGCAGTCTGACCCAGCTGGTCTCATCCTGCAGCAAAAATAAACCTGCACTGGGAAAAGCTGCTAAATTTGCTGTTTCGGGTCAGCTTGTGGTAATCAGACTAGGAAACGCAGATGATGTCCTCCATGTGCTGTGTGATTGAGTTTTGATTTCTCATTTAAATGCCTTTCAGAGAAGAGAACCTGATTCCATACTCCCCTGACGTGCAGATCCATGCCGAGAGGTTTATCAACTACAATCAAACCATATCGCGAATGAGAGGGATTTATACAGCCCCCTCTGGCCTGGAGTCAACTTGTTTGGTGAGCGCAGGGTGGAAGCTTCGCTGTAGGGCCGTGGGGTTTGTTGGTGGAGCAGCATGTACCGTAGCCTTTGGCAGAGAGGGCTGTAACGAGGCTGCTCACCGCTTAAACGTTTCTCTTTTTAATCGGAACTATAGACCTGAGCCTGATGTGTCTGGGTTTATGCTCAAAGCTGCATTACCAGCTCACGATCTCATCTCTTTCTAGGTTGTTGCCTACGGCCTGGACATCTACCAGACCCGAGTGTACCCATCGAAGCAGTTTGATGTCCTGAAAGACGACTATGACTACGTGCTCATCAGCAGCGTCCTCTTCGGGCTGGTTTTCGCTACCATGATCACAAAGAGACTCGCTTGAACCGTGCCTGGCGGTAAGGCTGAGGCTGGAGAAGGCATCTGAGAATAAGGCTGAGGCTGGAGAAGGCTTCTGAGAATTCAAACTGGCTGAAGATCTGCCACCCCGCATAGCTGCTGCCTTCGGTCAGAAATTCCAGCTCATGTGTCTGATGGGTACAAATCTCTATTACTTTTTTTTTATTATTACTGGAAGGTCTTTGGGAGAAAAAGCTGCAGCCTAACAGCATGCTGCTGTGTTTTCCGGTGAGAAGAAATGGAAGAGAGATCTAAAAGAGACATTGGTCTGTCACGACTGAGAAAGAACTCTCCCAAATCTTCGTTAAAGCCCTCTGCCATCAAGTCATTTCCCTGGTGTTGGCGAAGATAATATTAAGGATATGCATCCTCTGGGTTCTCTTGACGTCCTGAACGCGAGGAGGCTCGAGGGGTTGTTGGCTGCTGTGACGCGTGAGCTGCTGTGTGGGGGCCTGAGGAGAGGAGCGGACGTTGGGGCATTTTGCTGGGAAGAGGGTTAGAAATCGGGTGGGCGCTCGTGGGAAGCGGCCTCATTTCCACTGCAGGGCTGCGGGAGGAATTGCGATGTAAAGTCTCTTCACCTGCTTTATTTATTATGAGGATAATGTACTTTTTTTTTCCTTTCCTCCGTGCGTTTTCCCATACTGGGTGTACAACACTGGCACTGAGGTGGCACAAAGACCCTTCCCTGCTGGGGACAATCCACTTTGTTCCTGGATTTAAACTC